TTTTGCAAGAGATATTTTCCTTCACAACATCCTCCCCCCTTTGAGATTTATCGTTATTCCGGTAGTGACTCACTGAGGTCGAAGCCGCGTACGACCTCACCTTAAGTGGGCTAAACCTCTTTGCTGAAGAGCGAATTGAACTTTAGAGGAAAATCAATCAATCTTTTGGGAATATGCGTTTGCGCTGTTTCCCCCTGTATTTCGGCATATTTACCCTTCAGATTCGCATGAGGCCGACCAATGTAACATGCCACTTGGGGTTTCTGCTCGATTAAGCGCATTTTACGCTTTAACAGTGAAGAGCCGACCAAGCTCTTCGAAGCGTCAGCATCTAAACAAACCTCTCCCGACTAGCCCATTTTTTTCTTCAAGTGCTCAACCTTTCCTACGCCTCCCTCTGCTGCTCCTGCTCTAATTCTACTCAATCAACGGTGACCATATTCACAGACGAAAGCGCAGAGGTCATGAGACTCATGAGGATTCTGGCCGAGAATGCCAGATAAGGGCTAAACAGTCGGATCGCTGGATGCCAGGGAATCGCATGGTACCCACCTGTTTGATGTCTTGGAGGGTGACAGAGATACCTAGTATGGATCTGCGCATTGTGCGAGGTCGTCTTGTGACTGCTGAGATCTGACAAACACTGTTCCAGGGAGAACACCTTCTGGCTGATGCAGGCATTACCAAGCCGTACGAAATTAGCGATTCCTTCCACATTCTTAGAGTACAGTGCACTCAAATAGGCTGAATCACATCCACCATGGTCGTGGAGTTGTGTTAATTTGTATTTATATTTTTCCATCAACGTTATCAGACAGGCAGGTTTACGCCGTCGAATATGTTCGAGCTTGCTCTGTGCATTTGTGTAAAACGTTGAGGCACCTTTCTGCTTTCCTTTTTGCTGAAATATTCTGGTCTGCAGTTACGTCTGACAAATGTTTGCGGATATATCCTGATGCATGCCCAGCTAACTGTCTAACATTTAGTCTTCATCTGGTAGATCCAACAGTCTCAACTACCATCAGGGCGGGTTGACTCCTGCTCACAATTTGATCGTCCGATTTCTGCCAATAGCATTCGCGATCGGTCGCCTTTCATCCCTGCTACTGTTCGTCCGCTTTCATCTCATAGATGTCAGGGTAGTAATGTCAAAAGTTTTCTTCCTGGATTGTTGCTTTTGAGGCACAGAATTTCGAGGCAGGATGCAGTTGGCCTGCGCCTGCGGCCTATGTTGTCAAAGTTGACATCCCGAGTTGGAGATATGTTTCACCCTTACCCCTTTGCCGTATGCCTGGTTATCGTCCAACACCATCTACTGCAGCTGGAAATCTTGTCGTACCCCTCATTTTCGGATTCCAACGCAGGCCTTTGGGGTTTATTCAAATATCCATGCGGACGACTTTTCCTGAAAAAATTGGCAGTCGTGGGACTTGCAAGTGTAGATTTTGATGCTTATTGTTAGCGATAACCAGCACAGTCACTCCTGAGTATCGTTATGCGTTCTGCTTCCCGGGATAACTCGGGAAAGACTCCGTCTCTTTCATTGGCTCTCGAGACGCCCGCCATTGTATCCAAAACACCCACATGGGCTACTGACTTATTTAGAGGTTTTGGCAGGCGGATGACGACAAATAAACCAGAAATGGACGTCCAAGCCTCTGTTGCCTTTCTTGATGTTTCATTTCGCATATGTTCATTGTCGCTGTGCAACTATCCTCATGGGCCCTAAATTAAACTAAAAGGCACAACTGGACGAATAGTTCCCGTGAGCGATGGGTAAGTGCCCCTCTACCACAGTCAATATGCACGATCACAACCGATAGGACAACGAGACAGTGGTCAATGGTTAGGGCGTTGGCTGCCCACCATGGTGTAGGACACGCGGTGGACTCGCCGCTTACGACGACCGAACTGGCATTACCATGGCCTACTTCATTGATAACCACTTTCTGTGGCATGCTCCATCCACTGAAAATACAGTTGACATTGAGTCACCAGTAACAGAGAGATTCGCTCATCCTTGTAACCTTCTTGTCGTTCGTAGGCTAAAGATGGTATATGCTATGGTGAATCCTTGCTCTACGCAGACATTTCCGAAAAGGACTTTACTGGTGTTGCGATACATTGCTCTTCTACATCTTAGTCTTCATCTAATGCAGTGTCTGTTGTCTTGGTCTTGAACCATACTCTCCAAGATGTGAACTAATTCACGCACAAGTCACTGTCCTTGCGTCCAGCATGGTGGTCCAACTTTCTCCATGATGTTCTGGCCAATTTGACCCTTTGGATTCGACTGGCATAAATATCCGCAGGAGGGGTCCGTCTGTATTCTACAAGTTCATGTCCTATTAGGACTGTTTTCTGTACGACTGACTATGAACAATGCTCTTAATATGGAAGGCCTTACTCATCCGAACAGACTGAGTATGGTTGCTTTAGAAAAAATGACAACTGTATAGAGAACGACCACACTTAACTGAAGCGGGTGGGATCTAGGCCGCCCTTTTGTTGTTTTGATGAAGACATGGTCCCTCGTGCACGAGGACCAAGGACCGACCTGGCATTACCATGGCCTACTTCATTGATAACCACTTTCTGTGGCGTGCCCCATCCACTGAAAATACGATTGACATTGAGTAACCAGTAACAAAGAAATTCGCTCATTCTTGTAGCCTTCTTGTCATCCGTATGCTGAAGGTGGTATACCTTGTGGTGAATCCTTGCGCTTCGCAGACATTCCCGAGAAGGACTTCACTGGTGTTGCGATTAACTGCTCTTCTAAAGCCTATTCTTCACCTAATGCAGTGCGTTTTTTCTAAATCCTGAGTCAAACTCTTCAACATCTAGGGTTTTTTCTTCGTTCTGCCTCTAGGATAACTCGGAAGAAACTCCGTCTCTTTCATTGGCTCTCGAGACGCCCGCCATTATATCCAAAACACCCACATTGGCTACTTGTGCGAAGCATTTCTGTGCCTTTCTTTTGCTGTGACACATCGTACATCATTTTGCCACTTGCCCCTAGATCCCCTGCCTTTGTCTTATACCTTACACACTTTTTCATTTTGTGCTGGCTGATTGCACATTGTGTAGTTCACTCTGTACAGAGGTCAACTACGTCTTTGAATTCTGCAAATTTTATTTCCCTCCCGCCATTTTGTTTCGTTTCTTCCCGTCACGCATAGGTGTCTTCTCTAGCTACTTCAACTTCCTCAATTAATTCATATCCATTTCGAGAGCTCAATCTCGCTGGGATTTATGAGCGCTCCGCATTGATAAATCTACATTTCTCCCCACCCTCCACCCCCTCCCCCCTTTGAAATCATGGTTTCGAAGCCTTGACATTCAGCAAGCCAAATTCAACCTTTCTTCGATGCAATTTCAAGGCAGATGTCGCAAGAGGAGTTCGTTATTTTATGTTCAGGGTCTGTTTTCCGCCTTATTTAACTGCGACCGACGTTTGCAGCCCGATGTGTGGTTTTCGTACGCAGCGTGTAAACAATAGTCAAAATTATAAATTAATGCTGTCTACAGGAAAAACTCAACCCAAAGTGGGGAATTTTGCGTTCAACCAATGAATGGCGACTGAGGAAATGAATGGGGAAAACGGCGAAGTTGACTTCTTGTATGGACTCACAAAAGGTTAAGTTGTCTCTTATACCAAGTTGCTACAGAAAGTACGAGTCCTTTTTGATAATTCACAAACGTTTCAAGCTGGCCCTCGTTGATGGGGCCTGTCGACATGATGAATTCAAGACCGGCGAGGTTTGACTGAGAATTAACCCCCAGATGTTTTAACCCGCATACATAAAACGGATTCAGTCACATGAGAGTGATTTATGAACCATCAACATAAGACGACAACGAAACCAGAACACGCGTTAGCGCAAGTCGAAACCGGTGGTTGTGTGTATTTCTGGCATATTCAAACAAGAGTACAGTAAAGTTCGGGTAAACAAGAAAGTGCAAAGAGACAAAGCGAAGATCTAGCTTCCCTTATAAGCACGCCCACATAGACCTCGATAAGTTAGCCGTACCGTGATGCGATATCTGTTTCCGCGTACGGGAGCGATTGTAATTGTATAGTGAGAAGACCAATTTCTGATCAGAAGTTTATTTAATTAGTAAATAACTTACAAAAATACTACTTAATTCTAGGTGGGCGGTCATCACAGGCGGTGGGGAAGCTCTGGTAGGGCTGCGATTCCCTCTATGTGCTTAGACAAAACAACCTGCGCAGCGTGGCAATCAGTCGCCTCCAGCGTCGGGGTTCTCGCCTCTGTAGATAAAAGAAACGAAAGTGACCTTCAGATGAATTCAAAGACGCAAATGTCAAAAATATCCTAACAAGAAGAGCACATACCTTGACCAGTGTGGACGACGGGGCCAGGCTTTTGTCTTGAAAGTAAAAAAAAACCTCATGAAGTCTACGTCAGGCGGTGAATTCCATATACGTGGTTTTTAGTCATTACCCGAGTTCAGGGCAGATAAACATCGTCCCTTGAAGAAGGAGACATCATCAATAGGACAAGGACTTTATTCGCCTGAAGTTCCGGATTCCTGCTCGAACCCATCATCAGATACAAAAGCAAAAGATGGGTTTGAGGAGGAAACCGAAACGTCAGGCGAGTAAGACCCATGTCCCAGCCATCATGTCTCCTTCTTTCCGACTGCCTCCTGGGACTCGTCTCTTCGCTTCTATTCACACATTGTCCATTTAACACGGTAGACATTACGGCCTAAAACGAATTTTGCCATAAAGACTGTAAATATTTAAAATCCGCATTTTCGACATACCATTGGACGTCAGCGGCACGTTCACAACGCCGTCGCCGCTGCTGTCCAAGACTGGAGTTGTCTGAGTCCACCTCATTTCAGTTTTCTGGGGAACTCCTGTCTGGAGGAGCCGTGTCAGTGGGTTCCGGGGTGAGTCACCACCCCCTCTGAGAGGAAGATCAGAACCGTGTGTATCGCTGAGATGGCTGCTAAGGAAGCCGACTTCATCAGCAGGCGAGAGACGCGAAATGAATAGGGGTGGTGGCGGCGATGAGGGCGGCGTCGGCGTCGTCGTCGGCGGTGGCGGCGGCGGCGGCGGTCGCGTCAACGTCTTTAACGGCACCAGCAGCTGGGAGGGCGATGCGGATGATGGTGGAGACGAGGTAGTCGTTTTCAACAGTTCTGGTGATGAGGAGGGTTGGGTTGATAATGGCAATGGACTCAACCCCTTCAACACCTCTGGGATTTGAGACAGTGGAAGAGAAAGTTGTGGGGAAGGGGTCAGCGTCGACAAGGGTTCTGGCAGTGGTGTCAATGGGGTTGAGGGTTTCGGCGACGACGGCGACGGCGACGGCCACGCAATGAGTGCATTCAGGAGCTGAGACGGAGTCGGGGAGGGGGCAGGGGACGGCTTCGGAGACGGAGGCATGTACTCCTCTGCAGTCGCTACTGTCTCCACCCGTTTCAATGTCAACCATCCTGGTGGCGGTGGTGGTGGAAGTGGTGGCGGGTGTGGCAGTGCGGACAACGACCTTGGCGGTGGCGGATTTGTTGGCGTTGAGAGTGTCAGGGTGGCCGAGTGTCGCGGCCGTGGGCAGGGCCGTTGTGGTGACGTCACTGGTCTGCACAACTCCAAGTCCAGCAGACAGGGGAACGTTGGTGGTAGAGTTTTTGACGGCGAAATCGACGCCTTGAACGGATGAGGTGGTGGAGAATGTGAGAGTGGCGACTTCCTTGATCGCATTGGTGCCAACAGCGGCAGCGGTGGTGGTGGTGGTGGCTGCGGCTGTGGATGAGGTGACAGCGGCGACGTGGCTGCTGGTGGGGATTGTCTCAGAGCCAACCTGCGAGATCGCGGATGTGGAGTCGGACGGGGATTCGATGCACTAAATGCTATCGTTGGGGTTCCCGGGTGCCTTTGTGGAGAATCAAGTTTTGGAGTTGAGGATGAGGACGATATTGATGAAATAGAGCTGTTTGAACCGGCTGCTGATACACTATCCACTTCACCTTCCGACTCCTTATGGTGCGCGAAATTTGATGGCTGCGTTCTGGGAGTTGAATTAGCTTCCAGAGTGCGAAGGTCTTCTTCACTTGTGAGGCTCAAGCGACTGACATATTCCAAACTTGTTGCCTGGGAGATTTTCTCACTTAGTCTAGAGGGAGCTGATCTCCATCGGACGGCTGTGTGCTCGGTGCCAGTTGTCCATACGGAAGTATCAGAGTTAAAACTTATGTCCTGTTCAATGCTAGATTCCTCCTTACTGTCCGCGTTTCTATTGTCCTTAAAAGTCATGGGAGCTGTAGACGAGGATGCTACGCTAAGTGTGCTGACGGGAGTTGCGCAATTTGGCCATTCGTACCTATTGTATTGTGATACACTAGGAACTAGAAGAGAAGTTAAAGAAAATTCATTACGTTAAATCTGATCTACTTATAGGGAGAAAGTCATGATTTAAACTGAATGCATGAAAGCTTACATCAACAATCTAAAGCAATGCTACACTATGCCCGATGTCATCCCTCATCCGCGGCCATACATATTGGATATGTGACACTTAGATGGCTAAAATTAATAAAGTAGGTTTAACGGATCGGCCGATGTAAGCTAGGTCATGCATTCATAAATACCTTTTGCGATGCATATGCCTTATTAATAATTTCTCAAACTACTTTATTTATACGCATTCAAATTGTGGCGTAAGTGTTGTAGACGATGAGATAATGAAAGAATGAATCCTGAAGGAAATGAGGAATGGACTTACTGCTATCCGCGTATGGCGGTCCGCCTACATCCTGAGTAAATATGCCTTGTTCATACGGTAAAGTTGATGATCCAGCTACATCTGGAACATCATTCCACCATTTAATGTAACGACGTAACATTCTCGTTGGACTTAGCATCTCGTTGCTCGTCGAGTTGCTTTGTGACGCAGTTCAAGGATTAAGTTGTATCGATTGGCTTCGTGCGACCTTGAACCCGACCAACGACGCGGATGCCCACCGGCGGCTGTTGCATCAGGTGGTGATCACGTGTTTCGGAATAGAAGTATTGTGAGCCTTAGAGGAGTGAATTCAGTTGCTGCAGAATTAAGTGGACAGGCCTGATATTCGGCGGTTTTTACTTCATGCTGAAGTGATTAGAAATGTATGAGGTAAAATTACTTGGTTGTGGCGTTCACCGGTTTAGAGAGCGAATTTAGTCGTTCTAACATTATAAATGTATTTTACAAGAAGTCAGTTCTAGTAGACGTATCCTTGTTCTTCCCCCTCAATTATAACTATCTGAATAGCTTTAAATTTCTGTGAGTCCCTCAGCTGAGAGCTGACTTCAGTCTGCTACTCCGGATTAAAAATATTTTGAATGATTTCAACCACTGCACCCGTTAGTTGTTCCACATGGCATTCGTAATTTTTCCTTAATAGTCATCTGTTCATCTCCGCCACCTCTAAATATTTCAGTCATATAAGCATGCCAGCTTTTGACCGATCTTCGTTGGTCTCGTCTGGATAAACTATACTCAGGAAGAATGACTAGATGTGTAGCATGAATTTTTCCAATGAATTATCGCTGCCCTCATAAATTCCAAGATGTCTCACGGAAAACCCACCCAAAATGGTCATTCATTTGTTCATATAGTGGAGAATTACTTCCTCAAATTCTGTGCTTAGAAAGGAGTAAGTTGAGTAAGGTTGAGTTAAGTTTATAATTATGAGATTTTTTTAAGATCCTGAAATGTCCTTTCATAAACCATCGTTTCTCTTCGTTTAATAGTGCTGCTTATGAATCAAATCCCCTACATGATTTTATGAATGCCGGACGGCTTATTCTTAGTAGCCCATAAGAATACATGATTTTCCAATCACGGAAAATGCAGATTTTGTAGTTTAGAAGCCCTGAATGAGAGGGAGACGACAGGTCGGTTTCAAAATCATTCGTGGACCGGAGGGTTTTTAAAAACCGAAAGATACTATTTCTTCAATATAAAATCTTAAGAATTCGTAACTTTCTGCCAAATGAGTAGTAGAAAGAATACGTTTTGTACATCTTTTCTATAAAATATACTCGCATTTAGAAGGGTGTTGAAAACCGATGCAAAAATTAATGCTACTCAAGTAGTTACTTTGGACAACAGCACGTTTTTCTTAGCATTGAAAGTCAGCTTTGCATATCCATGCGGTTTCGTTTCCTGGAACGGGCGTGAACCTTCAAGGAGGGGATTTAGTTGATGCAGAACTAAGTGGACAAACCTGCTATTCGGCGGCTTCACTTCATGCTACAGCAATCAGAAATGCTTGAGGTAAAATTTCTTGGTTGTGACGTTCGCCGATTTAGAGAGCGAATTTAGTCGTTCTAACATTGCAAATGTACTTTACATGAGTTCAGTTGCATTAGACGCATCCGTGTACTTCCTCTTCAATCAGAAACTATCTGAACAGCTTTAAATTTCGGTGAGCCCTAGCTGAAAGCCGACTTCTGTCTCCGATTGCAGATAAATATAATTTTGGCAGAGACCTGATCTACGACCACACTGGTAAAATGTAGACCCCTAAGCCCTAGCCCTAAATTATAACCCTAAACCTAATCCTAAATAATAACTCTAAATCCTAACCCGAAGCTATCTCTTGATCCTCCATCCTAGTCCTCAAATACTAACCCTAACATTGAACCCTACATCCCTAACCCCCAAATGCTAACCCTTACACTAACCTCTGGACCCTTAACCGCAATCCTAATCCTGACCTTAACCGTAACCCTAACACTAAACAGAAACCCACCTACTGGAATCGATATTAGTACGAGAATCTTAGACAAGTGAGAAGGAAATTACTAGATGACGCTGCATTTCAGGCTTCTGCCAACATTTCAAACCTTTGTCGGATTTCAATCCCTGCACCAGTTATTCGTTCCATATAACATTCGTAATTCTTCCTCAATATTTATCCACATACCTCCAACACCTTTAAACACTCTCCCCTTGTCAACTTTTCATAGAAGGCTCTGCTATCCCATTAAATGGTAACCGAAGTTCTGAGGCGTGTTTTCGTTTCCAAGGGATAGGATACTCAGCAAAATTGACAGGTTTATTAGTATGGATTGTTCCAATTGGTTTTCGATATCCTTTTACACTTAAATACGCCTCACAGAAAACACGCACAAAATGTGTCATTTTTCTCATTCGTCTGCGAATTATTTATTCGTGCAATTTCGTACTTAAAAGACACTACCACCAGGTTTTAACAAAACAGTATTATTGTGAGATTTTTAAAACCGTGAAATTTCCTTTCATAAAGCACCACATTTCTATGTTAACTAATGCTGCCTGTGAAATAGATAGTAAAAATTTAATCCACTACAAAGTTTTATGAAAGCCACACGTCTTCTTCTCAGTGGCGTATAGAAATGCATAATTTTTTTAGCACGGAAAATACACATCTTGTAGTTTGGAAGACATGAACGTAAGTGTGATGTCAGGTCGAATTGAAAATGATTCGGAAACTGGAGAATTTTCTAAAACTGAAATATAATATTTCGTCGAATATAGAGTTTGAAGTATATGTAACTTTCTACCAAAAGAGAGTGAAAGAAAGAACATTTTGGAACATGTAAGTAGTTATAGTTCACAGAGTGTACTTTTTGCAAACAACCCGAATGAACCTCGTTTAAGGCCGGCATCCTGGCATGACTGATATTTCTTGAGATTCTGCCGCGTGACCATAAATCCTACGGCCCCATCTAGCTCATCTTTCCAAATCGAAAACATAATTCGGATTTTCGGTCAACATTTTATGAAGTAGCACATCTACTGTACTTCTGCATCTGTTCCGTGCGGCCTTCTCCATGACTTCGTGAAGTGCCCATGGCAAATTTACAAATGAGACTGTTAGTATTGTGGCTACCATAGGCGACGCAACTTGACTGTTCGACAAATAGACCGCGTTTCATGTGGAACAGTTACCAGGTGGCTTCCAGTTCACTCGCGGGACACTCCCAGTGAGATTGTGGTTGCCCGTTAAAATGTGGGAGTCTCGCACCGTTAGTGCCCCTGCCAACAGACATCACCGGACACGTCTTTTGTGGCACCTCTGAGTCGATTGTTGCAATGCCGTAGCTGGATCCGATCAAAGATTTCCGGGATCATATCTCATATGCCACAACTTGAGGGGTGTGCTCGTCTTTCCTCATGAAATTCCATCTCATGTCATAATCTGCCAGCGTCGAGTAACCAATAAGTTCCACTGTTTAGGCTATCTCATCACAGCCTGCTATAAATAGACTCTCCTCCTATCATCAACTCGTCCTGATCGGCCCTACTTATTCGTGGGGCGGTTGCTTTCTCCTGAAAAGCTCAGATTCTCGGAAACCTCTGAAATCGCCCACGTTTCCTCTCCAAGATTCTGTCTCCATGAGCCACCACCCTTAACCAGTTGAATTGATCGGTTATCACCGCGTGTGCGCGTTAGAACCAACAGATCTTGCCCGTCGGTGCACCGATTTGACCACTGGTCAGGTGACTCGGTTGGCCCATTCTCTCTCCCCTGAGGATGACGAATGCTGAATGAACCACTAGTTGTTTGTTCAGGCTATTGGTCGCGTCCGGACTGATTTGAGTCATATGCGCAGCACCTGGTAGGCAGGATGACGGTGCGTGGCTCGGCTGAGTGTACCAGTCGAGGGCCAGTATTCGGACACGAGTCTGCACATTGCTTCATTGGTCCAGCCGATGGCGCTTGCTTCTCCAAAGGCGAAACCGCGCATGTACCAGTGGAAGTTTATTTTTACGGTCAACTGCGAACTGGTGCCCATGCAGTCTTGCGTCGATACGTCTGCCCGTCTCGCCAACATTCATCGCACTGCTATTTTGCAATAGCACACTCTAGACCCCCGCTGATAACTTCGATGTCGTTAAATAGTTTTTGGCTTATTTACGGACTACGGTCACCTTACAACCAACAGGACTCAGAATCCTTGCTGCCGCCTTCGAGACCTTCATCTCATAAAAAATCGAAAGCCAAAACTTCAGCTTTTCAATATCTGACCGGTCACGAAGAGATTTCTTGGTCGCTTACGTACGTATGGCCGTGGTTGACCATTGGATGTGAACAGGGATGAAAGGTATTTCTCTTCCTCCTTTCTCCTGTCCTCGTCACCGCAGTATGCTTGAACCCAATCGGAATAGTGTTCTAGCATAGCTGTATTTCTGAAAAATATGATGGCAACATTTTAGATGGGAAATTTGTCTAGTATTCATTATCATACAACATGCGCCAGTCTTTATCCACCAATCTGTCAGCCTTTTGTCGTACGCATCATGGAAATGCAATTAATGGCTATTTTTGACTTCTGTTGGAAATCGGGCTTCAGGAAGGATTGAGTTTAAGTGTACCTCGAAGGTCTGAACTTCGTCTCATTTGGTCGTGATAAAGTTGACGTCGACGTATTTGACTCACAATTTCGGGGTGCACGAAATGAAGAACAGTCGCTCTGGTCTCTGCAAAACGTTTTTGACAACCACACCAGACAAATTCGAGCCGTTGAGCGCGAAGACACTTTTGAGGCGCATTTCCCTGAATTCGATGAAATTCACTCATCTAAGATGTTGGTCAGTTTCTTTGTACTTTTTCTGGAGGTCGTCAGTGGAGCTGACACCAGCGAATGGCGCCTGGGCCATATGAAAAAGTTGATGTCGACTAGAGGCAATATAAGACACTTTAATCAACTGGGATAAGAAGTGGAACAACCATGGCCTTAGATACCACAAGGAAATGGACCAAAATCAACGATATCAAGGAAGCTAAATAGTAACTGCCAAATACCGGTACACCGTGAGATTGATCAACCGGTTTTAATTTGGAGTGCAGGCCACTTCATTGTCTGGGGATAGTATGCAGTATGTGGTGAAATTATGATTTATCCTACTATGTAACTTCGCCTTTGATCACAAGCGGAGGGAACTCGGGAAACGAGCTTTACTGACTGGATTTTAGTGCAGTACATGGTTGCGCAAGAGTATCTAGGTACATGATCATCCGTGAAGTAGAAGATAACGAAAAACAGCGACCATGGTTCACTAAAGTAAACATGTTTTTTGGGATTTTCCCAAATAACTCTTCCGGTGAATACTTAACATGCTCCTCTTAACTTATTAGGCGCTCGGAATGCCAGTCCGATTTAGATGATTTCGTTACGTCCACTAGTGTATCATTATGTGTTTTTGATTCATTTTTCATCCTTTTTCGGCCCTTTATCTTTGTCCGTTTTTTTCCATATTTCCCTCTCTTCCATTTCCGCTGTTTTAATTCTCCTCGCTTGTCGGATTGTTGTGACTGCTGCTGCTAGGCTCTCTGTCATCCTCTTTACGCAATCTCCCACTTATCTATGCAATGCACTCCAATAATCCTTTTGGAATTTAATCGAGTGCAAGTTATTAGTAAAAGGCACCTTGTTTTTTAGAAGTTCTTTATTCGCACATGGATGGTACTCTTGTGCGCGACTCTGAACCTTAATGACATTGACATCCATATTGCTGTTTAAATTTACTGTCTATCGGGCGCAAATAACAAGAGAGGGTTTACCATGCCCACAAAGCGTAAATTTAGCTCAAGATTTCCAACGGTTTGCCATTTCTTTAATTTTTTTATTGCATTTTAGGCCAGAATCAAGAAGATAATGCAGTTAGACGACGAAATTGGGAAGTTAGCTGCCACTGTGCCGCCTGTCGTTTGTAAATTTTCTTGATAAATTTTACTCGTCTAGCCCGTGCTTTAGAACTTTTTATAGAACAGCTTACTTCAAAAGCCTTCGAGCTGGCCGTTGCCAGAAGCTCGAAAACCATTCTTCCATCATTTGTGTAAGCATCATTTTTGCTCGACTTTCGTAGTAAGGAAGCCGTCGAATCAGAGCCTGGATTCGCATTTCTAAAACCGCTTGTAGAGAATATTCCTCCTCTGAAGCCTCTCAACGATGTCGGCGAAGGCAAGTCCAGAGGCCGCTCTTGTAGTGTGGACTCGAAAACTTCAAAGAAGAGAACTAACGACTTCGATGCCCGTAATTCTAACGGTATCTCGAAATCCCGCGGCTCATCAGCTGCCGGGCGCCGTCCTTCAAGAAAAAGGCTAAGGGCTGAGGCTCCAGAGGATTTTCAGTTAAATGGAACAGAACTGTCAAATTCAAATTCCCTATCTCCAAATGAATCGCGCGACATGCCCAACAAATTGAATGGTTACGGTAGGAGAAATGGCAAGTCAGATGCTGCTGACGATTCTCCCTCTGCTCGAGACGCCGAAAACAACGCCTCTTTTGTTTATGAGTAGCTGGTAAGACCTTCGATTCATTCGACTCTTCGCATTCGTTTTTCTCGAATGTTTTCGGTGCTTGCTCTACGATCTCTTTCTGATTGCCAGGAACATTCCCTGCAACTGAAGGGCAACTTTTGCCTTTTGCTTGTGGTCATTGTTCGGACATTCTTCTACATTCTGGTTTTATGGGGATTTTTGTCTTGTTGGAAGCCCATTTATGAAATTCGTTAGCAACCTCTGTGTCGTTAACTTAGCTCTAAGTAGAATCATACTTTTCTAAATTTCCCTTCAGAATATTCCAGTTTTATTGTGCTTGAACTTCAATGCATCATATTGGATGCATCTAGACCAATTCTTTCACATAGAAAATTATACTCTTAGCGTGACTTAGGTCTGTGTCGCTGGTGCGTTTTCATTGGTATGCATCACCAGGGCGTCATTAATTCTATCTATCCTGTCTGAATTCGTTCATTCTACCTGACTCACCTGGAAATCAGCTCTTGGTGTCCACCTAATAACGTTTTGGGAAGGACGAGGTGCCATTTCGTCAATTCAGATGGAGTTGGATTTAAAGGAATACCAGAGAAGTACACGACTCAACGTTGGAACAATCTTGCCGAAACCGCTGATTCTTTCACATTGTTCCCCAATGTGGGGTGCTTCTGGTCCACATCGTCCTGTATTTCAAAGAATTGTGAACGAACTTTACAGCCCCGTATTTGATTTTACGTGTGAATTTGTCCGCCTAGGTGACATTTTTCCAATTAACCTTCTGGACAGTATTCTTAGAAATTGAAATCCACCGTCTGTGTATGATAGATGCTGGTTTTTCTATGACTGCCTGTAAGGTGTTGACGTAGGAAACATTTGGCAGCAGATGTGGCTTAATATCCCACCGCAAAATCTTGTATCGTTTACTTTGATGCTATCATCAACTCTAAATCGTCCTAACCCTTCGAAAGTTTATAGAAGCTTGAGGTTTATTGTAAGGGGAGCTAGGGTACTCTGGCCAAAAGTTCTTTTCCCCGAATTCGGTGATCAATTAAGTAGGTGTCGGTGTGTAAAGCACAGACAGCCGTCATCTCTGGCGTCTGTTTGGTCTGTCCGATTATAACAAAAGCCGACAACATGTGCATCCTATCTGTAGTGTTCAATGGCTAGACATATATTCCATGCATACGCCAGAAGTCCTTGACCACCGGTGTCCGAGGTGACTTCCATAAAAATGCGTTAAGTGAGTGTCGTCTTTCACCTGAATTGTTTTTTGTGTGCTGAACACGCCCTTTATGCACCTACCTCATCACTCCAGCTCACTCTGATTGCAAAGCTATTGCTGGCGGAAAGACCACGATTTGAATACCAATTATAAAACTTGGCTCGGACCGTCGCCCAGTGGGACCGAATGCACCCAAATTCGCCGACAGGCAAACGGCGTTCTACCGTTAACCCGAAACTTTATCGGACACCGAAGCCAAGACGCGGCTTTCTTCCTCATACTTTCTGCAACTTCTAAAAAATGTGAAACCCCTGGTATTTTGCTGTTTGCTGAGTAAAAGCATAAGCACCGGCCTCACTCATATTCGGGCTTCCATTGTGTGATAGAGATAGTCATGGCAGCCTACTTAAAAAGCTCGTATACTTTTCAAACTAAATATACGAACAGTCATCCTATCTTGTCGTAGCTTTTCCGGGCCTAAGTTATACTGCATTTAGCAGACACATTTACGAAAGCCTCCCGTTTCTTGGGAATAACTGACCCTACATTAACTGTGTTTCCTTAATGCGAAGAACGCATCCTAGCACAAACTCTGGGTGTTTATGAACCCAGACTCAGCACTGGTTGTATTTTAGTCTTCTAACTAGAATGAGGCTCTGGCGACTTCAGCTAGAAGGATTTCCTTTCAGAGTACTCTTTTAACACCTTCATGCGTGTAAAGCAGCAAGTTAACTCTTTTTGTACTGCTGTTTCTCTAGCAAACATCTGAGTTATTTCCATAAAATAGCGGAAACCCTCGTTGTTAGAAGAGGGAAGGTGTTTTTCCATAGCTACATTCACTTATGTCTCAATACATCTCTGATTTTTGATTTCATTTTAATACCGGCACCTGTAGGAGATGCAAATTATCCATTATTACGCCATCCACTCAACGCATGAACTTTCGAGAGAGATTTTATGTCGAACGTAAATTGTTCACAGCTGGTACGTACACTGGTCCAACTGAGTCACCGACCGTTGCGGCTACTCTCTGTTGCCAGTTTCAACGCGATGCGCCAGTTTAGGATGAAAAAGCTCGACTAACCACACACCCGTTTTCTGTGGAATGCTCGGTGATTGACTGATACTCAACCGACGTGCTCGCCCTTGCTCACTAATGCACTATGCAATACCAATCGCATAAGGCCGTCACGAGGCATTCCTTGTCTTCCGGTAGACCCATTCCATGACAAGAATTTGCATGTAGATCTGAATCTCTGGTTAGAACGCACTAGATCGTCGTATTACTCCTCTACACTCACATCAGGCCTCGCAATTCATGCCCAAATAGTTTGTACTCGCCGTTGCTTGACGTTAAGAAAAGATACATATACCGCCTGTCAGCCCCTGTTGTCGTCATTATTTCCGGTGATTGACCCATATACGAGCCCTAACCTTTGTGCGAATAAAGCTTTCACCCTGGGGCCCAAGATTTTTCATCTGCGGAACAATATCCACACGGGCCGCGCGGGTCAGCACCTAAAATCGGCGCTCCGGCTCTTAGTTATAAACCCACCATTTTGTTACCCAACGCGCTACTTAGTTCTGTATTTGCAGGCGCCATTTTCTCGGCTTTGGCACTGTCTGTATTTTTGTCCTACGTGCCCTCTTTTACTCGTTCATGATCAGTTATCTTAGTAACCTGGATGTATTTTGGCTAGGATAGTAACGTAAGTGACTCCGTACATGTACCAGGCCCGTAGTTCTTGTTTATGTTGCTGTTTGTAGACTGCAACTACGGAAGACACTTCTACCGCAGGACCTGGACGTCGCCAGTCTCCTGCACTCGGGTCGCCACCCACCCTCTGTACAAAGCCCCTCCTCCCTTTTCCCAAACTCCGTTCACTATGCATTTTAGAAATCATGCCCCACTGTGTGTTCGTACTTGTTCTTATTATCTCCATCTTCACTACCAACATTAACGTGCTGTTACTTTGCTACCTTCACACACCCTGTTTCAATCTATATATATACAAAAGCAGGAAAACGTTAGTAGCATAGATTTGTTCTGTCTTTAACTCCTGGGTGTTAACTCGACTAACTGCCCGGCTGATATGGTCTTCGTGAGCGCATACGCTCCTTGGGTGAAGCTGTGTTCAAGGGAGTGCTTGTGTTGTGCATGCGAGTGATCAGCGGTGTCATTGATCAGTCTTGCTCATTGAGTTACGGTGGGCTAAGGTGCGAGCGGGGTCTTCCGATGATCCGTGGAGAAGTAATTTGACGGATTGACCCCTTCGACTGCTTAGGCGATTGAGGGGGAAAAGTTGCCTTGGAGTTCGGGTCCTCGAGCACCGTGAAGGCTACTGGTGTTTTTTTTCCGGAAGTGTATTTTCCGCAAGTGCTTCGGTCAAGTCTCATCCGACTGTGTATGTAAAGGGTTTCTGATTAGTAATGCGGCGACCACTGTTGGCTAGAAGAGTCCCACTCAAGTACCTGCGGGAGAGCTCAAAGCTTCTGTTAACCCTATTTTAGGGCTAGCCATGGATCCGTCGTTTCTCACTCGGCAAGGTAGCTTGTTCTAATTACCATAAGAATCATGGTGGGCACAGTCGACGACATTTATCTGCACGCGACCAAGTTCACTTCTACGAGTTCGTTCTGCCTTTGTAGAACGCTGTCGAGCACAACAGTAGCATATGTGACAGTTCAGCCGTCGACTTTGACGATGTCAACCATGTGTTCCACATCAGGTTGAGTCAGAAACGGTGACTTGCGCGTGAATTAGTGGGCTTTCGCTGCATCTACTGCACTCCTCCCCCATCTACATACGGTGTCAAGAAGACTGAAAGAGGGAGAGGGCGCGAATGGCTGGCGTGGTGAAAACCTGCACTAGGCGTGCAGACACACCAGCAGGGGGGGGCGGCTCGGATCCCACTGATTGCGAGTGCCATAGAGGCCACATTAAGAGGGAGCCATGGCGGCCTTACTCTGTCCCCCAGTTGGCCACTCCGCCCAAACACACACTGGGCTGACTGCGAGGTCCGAGTTATCCCATCAGTTGACAGTCTCCCAAGCCACGTGATAATGTCAGGCTCTGATCACACATGTAGCAGGGGAGCCACATGGAGAAGGAGCCGAGGAACACACTTCCAACTTATGTGAGAGGTGGTAGTAACGTGCTTGCGTTGTGTGATGTTGGGTATGATCATGTGTGAGGAGAGACGTGATGGGATGGTATAGCCGACAGTGTTCTACCGCGCGTGTTGCTCATGTGCGACCGAAATGGGGACAAGTTGGGATCGAGTCCATCTAGCTGGAGGTGGGGCTGCTGATGGTGGTTGTAGTAGATGATGGGACGCCGGATGTTATCCCATCGAGGGGCGGGGTGAGATGTGTCGTGCTGTTGGCAGAGCTGGTTGAGGCAGGGCGTTTGATGGCGGCGGGGCATCCGCAGCCAGATCACCGATTGTGGGGGTGGTCGTCGTCGCGGGCTTTGCGACAGGGGTGGTCATGGAAGGAGAAATTGACGTTACCCGGTTATCGGTGCGTTGCTCCTGAAGGTATTCTAAGAGGCCGGTTCGGGCGCGGACTGTTCGCGAGCATGTTGGTAACGGCGGGCTGATGGCTTTGAGACTTACGACTTGCGAGCTTCCCTTTTGGCTTTAGCGACGGCGATCCGGTTTGCTTCGCAGATGGCTACGCCGATCTTCTCTTCTCCAGGCCGGTCTGTTCTGAGCGAGGTCCCCCCAGGTCTATAGGCTGACATGCAGTCGCTTCAGAGAATTCTTCAAAGTGTCCTTGTAGCGTCGCTTTAGTGCTACAGGTCGACGAGCACCCGTGGCGACATTTCTGTAGAAGAGTTTTTTCGGTAAGTGAGTGTCGTCCATTTTCACCAGATGGCCGCTCCATAGTAGTTATGCCGGATCCATAAATCCGACGTGACCTCTCCATCGCCACTAAGATTCGCGTGCACCGTGCATCTGTCCGGTCTGTCTTGAGAACCATCCTTCGAGTGAAGTTCACCGACTTCGTCTCAAATGGGACAGTCCGCGCTCCCTGCGACAACATCGCAAGGATATCTCAGACCATCCAAGAAGGACAACTGTGGTGGTTTGGATATGTTCTTCGTCGTATACCTCAGGAGCTCAGTGTTACTGCCCTCGATCCGGCACCGTTGCCCCATTGGAGGCGTCGAAGAGGGGGCCAATTCAAAACCTGGCTCGACACAGTTCGTCAAGACATGGAGGTGGTTCTTCGACCTTCGGTATTCGGTCTGCGTCGCTGGCAAAGGAGATGGGTTGAGCTATCCAAATCTGCTGCCGCGGATCGTCACTCATGGAGAGGTACAGTTCGTGACATCATTGAGGCCGGCTAGATCAAGCATGATCGCAGCCGTATCAAGTACAAGTAAGTCCATAGTAGTTGCAGTTACCTCGGCATGGCGTGGATGCTGCGAATTCCGATCTGTTCCAGGACTTCCGCATCCGGGATCCTGTCTTGCCACATCGGCTTTACTATTCTGCGAAGACAACTGAGATGGAAGTGGTTGGGCTTTCTGGCATGGCTTGGGTAGACGGTCCAGGTCTCCGCTCAGTACAGGAGCGTCGTCAAGACGACAGCATTGTACATCTTCAGTTTGGTATTCACTTGGAGACCATGACGATTCCATACGGAGGCTTGCAGCCGGCTGAAGGCCTGGTTGGCTTTGGAGAGCCGACGGACAACCCCATCGCCTGTGTTGCGCGCGAGTGTGCTTCCTAGGCAGGCGAAGTTGTCTACGCTTTTTGAGTTGATTGCCGTTAACAGTGATCGGAGGAGTGTTGTATTCAACGTTCGGTGACTATGGATGCTTGACTACCGTCCTGTCCCTGTTGATTGTCAGACCGAAGTTGGCCCACCCGGTGGCGAAGTAGTCCATCCGCCCTTGCATGTCTAATTCGCTCTTGGTGTTGAGCGTTCAGTCGTCGGTGAAGAGCAGGTCGTGTACTGTAGTCGTAGATAGTCGCGTTGTTGTTGTTGAGATATCCGTCAGTTCTGTGGTGATGCGTATCTCAGGGCTCTCATCACTGTAAGCGTCCATCAGCATGGCAGAGAAAATGAGGCTGAAAAGGGTGGGAGCAAGACTGCGCCGTTGTCTGTGACATGCGCCATCATACCGTCATGGAGCTGACGTGCCATAAACGTGAATCGTTCAGGACAGTCGGATTTCCGCGTGATTTCCCACAGTTCCTCGTGATTCACTGTGTCAAAGGCTTCCGTCAAGTCCACGAAAGTAGTGCAGAGATGAGTCCACATATCCTGACACTTTTTTATAGTTGGCGAGCGACAGCGACCATGTCGGTGGTCCCGCGGGGCTGTCGGGAGCTGCATTGCCTTTCCTGTAGTAGTCCTTGACTGGGGTGGCTGTTAAGACGACTGAGGAGAAGGCGAACGAATATCTTTCCGGCGATGCTGAATAGTGAGATGCCTCTGTGATGATCACGGAGTTGCCGATTCCCTTCGCGCTTGAAGAGATGAACGATGGTCGCGTCTTTGAAGTCCTGAGGGACTTTTCTCTGTCGCCACATCTCCCAGATTAGCACCGTGAGTTAGTCCACCAATCACTGACCGCTGTGCTTGTAGCTTTCAGCTGGGATCGCATCGGAGCCTGGTGCTTTCCCGTTGGGGAGTGGTCGCACGGCTCAAATGGTTTATGGAAGGGAGGGTGAGGGGTCCGGGTCGCTGTTGATTTCCACTTGGGAGAACTGATCGATAGCGTCGTCGGAGATTTTAGAGAAGCGGTTGATGACGCTTCCGAAATGTTCGACCCAACGCCTCAGAATCTGCAACCTCTCCGTCAGAAGCGTTAATCCGTCAGAGCTGAAAAGCGGCGCGGTTCCTTTCGGTGGAAGGCCGTAGATCACCTTGATAAGAAGTTCTTCGTCTCATTGCGATCGGCATACCCCTGTATCTCCTCGGCTTCGCGGGCCATCCAGGCATCCTGCATCTCTCGCAGCTGCTTCTGCGCAATACGGCGACTTTGGTAGAAGACCGCTTTGTCTGCAGCGGTTGTACCGGACGAGTGATTTCCGTAAAAAAACGATCGGTGAGCGTCCCTCTACCATTGTACATTCCCGATCGCAACCGACAATACAATGAGCCCGTGGCTCATTGTTTAAAGGCTTTGGACTTCGAACTAACAGGCCGCGGGATCGAGCTCCAGCCGTTCCACACTTCGGAATTGGGTATGACTGGCTGACGACGACTAATAAGCCAGAAATGGCCATTCCAGTCTCCCTTGTCTTTGTCGGTAATAGCATTCTGTCTATGCCGCCTGTTCTACCCGGCGAGCAGATTGCTGATGGCTGCGTTGTTCTCGTCACACCACTCCTAGTGCTGGCGAGGTGCGCGACCGAGGCCACCCAGGGCGGTCGAGTGGACGACGTCCTGCAGTTGGCGCCATCGAGTCTCTGCTATGGTGCTGACGTCCTGAGCTGACAGGTCTCCCGGGCGCTGAGCTAAATTGTTGCCGAAATGTAAACAATGAGCAGGCAAATTCTACAGAACGGCATCTAACTTACCTGGTGGTCACTTACCTTGCGACCTCCTGCGGGGTCGCAGATGGAGCCTCATCTTGGAGATGACGAGGCGGTGATCCGTCCGGCCGGCGGTAGCCCTCTCCCTCTCCGTAGGACTTCAGAGGTGAGGGGAGGCGGATGGGGATGGGGAGAGGAAGTAGCTATTGGAAGGGAAGCAGAATTGCCGGATGTGGGGACACAACAAAACCGGATGTCTCCAACCTCATCTGGCCCTCTGGTCGATTTGATTACCGGGGTGTGGCCGCTGGGCAGGGCATAGCTTCGAGGAGCCACATGGGAGAGTTGGGTGCTAGTTACTGTATGCCAGGCATAGTCTACTCCTGCAAACAAGTGGAACGACCCCCAAAAACCGCCGCGTGAACCCACAGCTGAACACCCCTACACCCTACCCGTTAAAATATTCAGCTTTACGCATGAACAACCGCTACTGTCGTTTCTGGTGGCATGAACGAAGAAAGACTGAGCTTCCTGCCCGCGTACGTGACCAGCATTTGAGGCATGAAAATACAGCTACGCAATATGCTGGTGTTTGCAGCGTCTTACACCTGCCAGTCGTGTGTGCCCTTGGCCGAAAATGGGGTCACACTGTTCACCGATGAAACCTCGATGTACGCGAGGTTTAAGACGAACCGGCCTGTGATTTTCCTTTCAAGTGCAGGCCCGACGTAGTTCGCGGTGCCCTTGCTGCTAGTCAGCGTCAGAATCTTCGAGTTCGCAACCCTAAAATAGACTGATTACTCTCAGGGTGCCCTCATGGACGATGACACGTCCTCTCCCGCACTCCGGATTTATACTCGTGTCTTCCTAAACCCTGCCCTCCTCCGCCCTAACCTTGGTGCGCGCGGGGACTATCGTCAAGTGGAGTCTGAGAGGTAATAACAGATTGTTCAGCGGCGTTTAGTTTGTCTTTGATCAGGGCTACACTCTTTCGCAAGGTGGTCTCCGGTCAGTGGGTTATTACAACACCAGGCTCTGGGGTATTGATGTCCATTGTCTCGAAAACCTGTCAGCCACATGGCAGAAAGTGCCGTAGCTTTGGCGGGCTTCTCATTTTAGTCTCCCGTGAGCGCATGCTTGGACAGTGATCTATGAAGCCTGGAGGGCGGCCATTCTTGGTTCAGAAGAAGGGGACCCAACCGTTGAAATAATAATTATGCTCGTCTGACGTTCTTGATCCTCTCTCGAAGCTAGCGCCTGAAAGCAGTCGATAAGTACAGTAGGTGTGCTAACTCATTAAATGTCAACCGAAATTCTGAGATGCGTCTTCGTTTCGAAAAGATTACTTAAGTAGGGTTTTAAAGCTTATCATCATTCAGCATAATTCTATTATACTTCAGTTACCTAGAAACGTCAGTATTCTAACGAACTTCTTTCCGGCCGCATGCGAAAAATATATTCTGTAGAAAATGACTGCTTAATTACCATGCGCTTTTCTCATTGGTTTTTTGATGCCCTTAAGAATTCAACTATATTCCGTGCAAAACATGCATAAAATATCCATTCTTTTACTTATTCGGTAGCAAATTACGTCTTCTTCCACTTTTATCCTCGAATGAAGGACATTATTTGTGTTTAAAAACTTTTCTAAGTTGGTAATAATTCTGAACCTAACCTGCGTTACACTTGCATTCAGGGTTTCCAAACTACAAGCCGTATATTTTCTGAGTACGGAAAACCATACGCTTCTCGACGGTATCAGGCTACGACGAGTCCCTCCTAATGTTGTTTTTATGACGTTCCCACTTGTGAGAGATCCCAGCCATCTGCACAGTACCCCAGCAAATATATGTGGAAACCAGGTCGTGCGTGGCACCCATAGACGGGTTGTTTAGTCTTGTCAGCTGTTTCGCCCGTGCACGCCTCCGGTTGTCTTAACGTTGTCTTGCTATCGGAAGAAGGTGGGTGAGGTCGACCTGTCGAGTGATGAGTTGTTGGAGCTGACGACTCCGCCGAAGAGCTGCTTTGTGCACACACATAATCGCAACTCCATCTTTCATTCTGTACAGTTGAAAGAACATTTAGGACATAGGATATGCTGGACGGCACCACTTTTCTCGCCCGGTCACGCCCCGGGCGTGCAGTTCTGACTCCCGATTCTTAAACAACTTTCCCCGCCAGCCTCCGAAGTATCCTGGGTGTTTGCGCATGACATCTGGTAGTGAAAGGCATCAGACATCTGCTAAATTCCTGACTTCTGCAACCAACCTGTGGCGCACACAGACGCTCTTTAAGCGAATCCAAACATAATGCAACAACCCCCGATAACACTGTACGGAAGACCCGTTATTATCGCAAGTAATTTTTTCAGGATGGCCGTCCAGTGACCTTCTCGTACTGATACCTGGTTTTTTAACGAGAGTAAACGACAGAGACAGCGGTAACGCAATAGACGACTGCATTTATGTCTTATTTGACAAAAAACTGGAGTGAGAAAAGTGGCAGTTGCAGGAAAAACATTAGTAGCAGTGAGGAAGCCGCAGTTATCATGATGGTAGGTAAGCACGAAGTCATACGAGTTAAGTCATTTTTGAAAAAATAAAGTCCGATTGATCCATACCACAAAAGTACAGGGAAACGTTACAGCAGACAAGAATACAGTTGTGCGTTTTGCTAAAAAGTCCCGCGAATGAACGAACTGACCTCAGTACTACCCGCCAAGTAGGGAGTCAATGTTGAAATTATTGGTACGGCCGGTTGGTTGCACTTCCAGCTGGTGCTGAGACGTCGATTCCGCTGCCGACTCCGTTGAGGGGTTGACTGACACGGTTTTAGCGCTTATCGGGGAAACATTCGCGCGGCTCCTATGGCCGTGCCACCGCTGATGCGATGCAAGGTTGGCGGGGTTTTGAAATACCTAAATAATAAAATTACTGGTTATTGGCTATCAAAATCGGTGTTAGTAGTGTGTATTTTACGTTCTCTCGTTCTGGAGTCATTTTGTGTGAGGGAGTACAGTGATATAAAAACCGCGTATCAATTGACAGGTGACGATTCCATCGTCGTTACCGACACTGTCCACGTGTGCTCCGCAGAGAACAGGCACGGTGATTTGTGCGTGAAGTAGTCTGTGATAGTAGCCGACTTGCACAGCATCTACCGCACTCCCTCCTCCCCCGTTTGAACCCGGTGCCAGAACATAGTCAAGAAGACCGGATACGAGAGAGGGCGCAGGTGGCCAGCACGGCCGGATCCGCACCTAGGCGTGCCACTACGCCCCCTGATCCACAACGAACACTTAACCAGGACTTTGACCAACAGCGAAAATGGGTCAGAGGGATAAGGGTGACACAAGTCACTGGGCAGTCACGCACACGACCCAGGGGGGGGGGGGCGTGAGCTCATCTACCGGCAGGGAATCTAGTGCCAGAGGACTGCCAGCACACACCAGACTGCGAGGGCCATTGTCTGCGTTGCATAGCATATGCACACAATCAGTTGATAAGTAGACCCATGACACAGGACACGGCAATTTATTCTGGCGATGGCTATAAGAACTGAGTGCCCTATCTTCCGCGTTCAGAAGGACCCCCTTTTGGACGTTAAGTCTAAGATCACCTAACGATAGTTCTACCGTCGATTTCGACAATGTCCCCTGTGTGTCACACAGCAAGGTGCGGCGGGTACGGTGACTTACGCGCAGCATCTACCGCATTCTCGCTTCCCCACTCCCCACCTGGACCCAGTGTCAAGAGAGAGTCAAGAAGACCGGAGGCGGAGGAGGGCGCAGGTGGGTGCCGCCACACCTCCTGCCCCACAACATACACTTGACCAGGATTTCTCACCAACAATAACACCCCAACAGGGGTCAGAAGGACGAGCATGATGACTGGGCAGCCATGTCCATCACCTGTATACCCAGCGGAAGCGCAAGCGCATTTACCGGCAGGGAACTAGGTGTCAGAGAATTGCCAGTGCATACCAGGCTCTGAGGGCCATGGTTTGCTGATACTGGCATTGCGCACGCTTTCAGACCTTTTGACCTAGATGGGCGACACCTGACCCTGTATTCAACCTCGGCCGCCACCCTTCAAGGTTGGGTAACCAAACGGTTGTCAATTGAGAGACACTACCCATAAAGAACACACACACACTCGCATGCATGAGATTGTCACAGATTGCTTGAGAAGGGAACGCGATAACCTGGCCCTCAGCCCACCAGTCCGCCGCTCCACATAACACACACAACTGGGCAGACTGCGTGGACTGACCGTCGATTTCGACTATGTCAACCGTATGCACCACAGCAGCGGCGGTGGGAGCAGTGACGGTGACTTGCGCAGGGGTTTATAGTGCCAGTAGACTTGCGCTGTATCTACCTACACTCTCTCCTCCTCCCCCGCCTGAGCTCCGTGTCAAGACAGAGTCAATAAGACCGGAGACAAGGGAGGCCGCGAATGGATGGCTTGGAGGGATCCTCACCTTGGCGTTCCACCACACCCCTGGTCCACACAACAAATAACCACGATTTTCACCAACACAACAGAGATTTGTAGGCTGGCACGACCGAAACAGCCGCACCTAGGCGTGCCGCCAACGCCTGGCTCGGATCCCACACTGTGGTGGGAATGCCATAAAGGCCACATTTAGAAGGAGCCATCGCAGCCCGACTCTTAGACCTCCAGTCAAGGAGAGGCCCGAGTTATCCCGTCAGTTGGCAACCTTCCATGCCACGGCTTTTAGCGCACCGTGATAGCTTCCGGCGCTTCAGATTGTTTTTAGTGAGGAAAGTGCGCTGAGTCGTCGACCTCGCTCTCCCTTCCCATTCTTGCACCCCAGTTGCTGTCCGAGCCGGTCAGCAGACTGGAATGGGAAATGGGCGCGGTGGATGTCATGGTCGACTGACCATGACTGACTGCACACCATTGCATGTGTGGCTACACATATCTATAACATAAGCTG